CAGGCTTTTTGATGCCGAAGAGATCTTCTAGGCTTCCGATCTTACGAGCTGAACATTCCGTTCGCCAGCTAACACCTCCCCCACCGGGGGAGGTTTGGTGTGCCCACCCTCTCTAAGGAGTGGTACCCATTTTATCTACTCGCCGAAGCTTTCGAACCACTGGGTGGACGGCGAGCTGGGGACAAGGCTGGTAGCTCACACCAGCGCAGAGCTAGAACTGACAGCAGTTCTGTTCAGCTCAGATGTTACTTGTAACCAGAGGATAAATCCCCTGTGCCGCCGCACACCGTAACGGCCAGCCAAAAGGGCTGTTTTTGTAGTTTGGAATCGCAAAGCTGTAAAGGACACTCTGAGGTTATAGTTAGAGAAATGAACTAGGTAACGTGACCTGCGGTGGTCAACTTTGCAATATTTATACCAGGGAGCCGCTTTAGATTTCAGAATCAGAGAACGACCGATCAGTGCATCAGCCTCGTATATCCCTAAGATGTGGATTTGCAACTATAGAGTTGGCCACCTCCAGCTGGGGCCTGGAGACCTCCCAGAATCACAGCTGCTCTCCAGACGACAGAGATTAGTTCTCAGGAAGAAAATGGCTGCTTTAGAGGGTGGGCTGTAATGGCCTTCTATCTGCTTGAGGGGCCCTCACCTTCCAAAACCCCTCTCTGTCCCCAGGTTCCACTCCAGGGCCGGACGTCCCGTTTGCTCAGCCTACAGAAGCCATAGAATCATAGAATGTTAGAGTTGGAAGGGATACATGCCATGTGCAGTGTTCCCTCTAAGCTGTGGAGTCTTGTGAGCAAAAATTCTACTTTGTGAGCTACCGGCACTAAAGTTGTGAGCCGGCGATTTTTGGCTGCTGCATCCGTTAGTTTGCCCTGGAGCCCTCCTTCCCGAGCGAAGACGAAAATGTGTGAGCCGGAGGCTAAAAATCTCTGAGCTAGCTCACCCTAACTCAGCTTAGAGGGAACACTGGCCCATGTGCTGGTTTGTTTTTTTAAAATCAAACTCCCCCTGTATTTCAGCCCACGAGGCCTGCTTCCCCTGATATTCCAGGACGAATTCCAATCCAGTTGGATCAAGGCAGTTCACTATCCTATTCATAGGATTGGCTTCTCACCTCAGCTGCTTCTATCCTGTGGATCTGAACAAGCCAAAGGGCTAATTAAACGAAGATATTGAGCGACAATCTGAGCATCTCTAAGGCTTCCAAACGCAGGGTGGTGTTAAATATCAAAAGCACCATTGAGCCAGGGACAAACTTGACTTCAGTGGAGGGAAAGAATTCTCAGAAGGGCATTTGCCCTAGCTAGATGTTCTGCCATTCCGTCTACGGTTTACTTTGACCTTCAATCTTTCCCAGCATCAGGGTCTTCTCCAGTGAGTGCTCCCTTCTCATTTGGTGGCCAAAGTCTTTGAGCTTCAGCTTCATTATCTGGCCTTCCAGGGAACAGTCAGGGTTGATTTCTTTCAGGATTGACTGATTTGATCTCCTTGCAGTCCAAGGGACTCTCAAGAGTCTTCTCCAGCACCATAGTTCAAAAGAATCTATTCTTCGGCGCTCGGCCTTCCTTATAGTCCAACTCTCACAGCCATACATGACTAGTGTCGTAGATGCAACGAACATGAAATTGAGCAAACTTCGGAGGACGGCGGAAGACAGGAGGGCCTGGCGGGATCTGGTCCATGGGTCGCGAAGAGTCGGACTCGACTGTGCGACTGAACAACAACAACAGTAAAAAAAAACCCCTACTCTGAAAGGCTATGCCCATGCCCCTTAAGCGAGGTCGAATCAGTAGAGCACATGTTCTTCGGCTGCCCATTTTACAGGGAGGCTCGTTTTAAAATTATGGCCCCACCCAGTCACATTAACACAAACAGAGCAAGGCTTCACTGGCTGCTATCAGATAAGAATGCAGAGATTACATGTTCACTTGCTGAGTTCTGTGCCTTAATTCTTAGACTGCGGGAATCGAATTTTAAAAGTTCTTAAATTCAGATTTTTTTTGTGGTATTTTGTATATTATGACTGTTTTATGCTTACTCTGTACGTTGGTCTCAGGACTGCAATAATAAGTAAACTAAAAAACTCCCCCTAAACATGTCAGTTCTGGGCTCCTCATGCCACTTCAGAGTCTTAGAAGTGGAGGAGGAGGAGACTGGATTTCTACCCCGCCCTTCACTACCCAAAGGTGTCTCAGAGGGGCTCACAAACTCCTTTCCCTTCCCCTCCCCACAACAGACACCCTGTGAGGTAAAAGAAGAAGAAGAAGAGATTGGATTTATACCCCGTCCTTCACTACCCAAAGGTGTCTCAGAGCGGCTCACAAACTCCTCTCCCTTCCCCTCCTCACAACAGACACCCTGTGAGGTAGGTGGGGCTGAGAGAGCTCTTGACAGAAACTGCTCTTTTTCAAGGACAGCTCTTGTCAGAACTACGGCTTGACCAAGGCCACCCAGCCAGGTGCAAGTGGAGGAGTCGGGGAATCAAACCCAGTTCTCCCAGATTAGAGTCCGTGCACGTAACCACTGCACCAAACGGAGGAGGAGATTGGATTTATACCCCACCCTTCACTACCCAAAGGAGTCTCAGAGCAGTTTAGAAACTCCTTTCCCTTCCCCTCCCCACAACAGACACCCTGTGAGGTAAAAGAATAATAAAAAGAGATTGGATTTATACCCCGCCCTTCACTACCCAAAGGTGTCTCAGAG